GAATAGTATAGAAAAGGTAAGCTTCCTGCTCTTACTTCCTTCTGAGTGCAAAAGAGATAGCCCTTAAAGCTTGGTTTTTAGGTGGATCTTTAGAGTGTATTAGAGTGAGATTAGGAATTAATGTAACGTTAACTAGCACATACACTGACATATCAATATGAAAAAATCAAACTATTCTAAAAATTAGACTAAAAACAGGCAGAAAGTTTTAATTCTTTTAGTGTTTTTTTTTTTTAGCTCTATTTTGGGTGAGGTTATGACTCTAAGTATTGTCATTGTCTTTATACATACGTTTTAGTGACTAAAACACTGACATTTCATTGATTTATTTTACTTTTAAACAAAATTATTTTTCCCAATATAAAGGTTGCATATCTGCATGAAACAAATATAGAAAATTACACTTAAATAGAAGGAAAAAAAGAACAGTGATGTCATAACCCAGAAAAATAACACTTTCTTGTATTGCTAGCTATTTTCTAGGTATAAGTTTTTGGTTTGTTTTTATGTAATTGCAGAATGCTATATTCAACTTATTATTCTTTTTTTATGTGCTTTTTAAATCAGATTCATGTGTATTTTTTCCATTTTTATAATTCCCCTCTTGGAATTGCCTTCAGAGTTTGCTGGCAACTTTTAAAATCTTTACTGATACCAGTAAAGCTTTATTCTTCAGAGGGCGTTTTTAAATTTTGCAGTTATCAAGAGCCAGCTTTGAAAAATTTTACTCAGCCTTGGCTTAAAGTGACAAATATATTTGTATATGGGTCTTTAAGCATCTTTAAACGGTCTCAAAATTAATCCAAAAAAAAAAAAAACAATTTCACCCAAATGTTTGAGCACATCATGGATATATACTTTAAAATCCTTTAAAAGTATACAGTATGGTATTTTTAATATTCTAAAAAATTATGTATAATCAATTCCTCCCTCCCTCTCTTTCTCTCTCTCTTTCCTTCTGAAAGAAAGAGAGCAAGCTGGGGAGGAGCAGCGGGAGAGGGAGAGAGAATCTTAAACAGCTCCACCCACAGAGCCCCACCACTGAGAGATCATGACCTGAACTGATATTAAGAGTCCTGGCTCCAACACTGTGTTACACAACAGCGGTGAGAGTGGACATCCCTGTCGTGTTCCTGATCTCAGGCGGAAAGCTCTCAGTTTTTCCCCACTGAGGAGGATATTAGCTGTGGGCTTTTCATAAATGGCTTTTATGATCTTTAAGTATGTTCCTTCTATCCCGACTTTCTCGAGGGTTTTTATTAAGAAAGGATGCTGAATTTTGTCAAATGCTTTTTCTGCATCGATTGCCAGGACCATATGGTTCTTATCTTTTCTTTTATTAATGTGATGTATCACATTGATTGATTTGCAAATATTGAACCAACCCTGCAGCCCAGGAATGAATCCCACTTGATCATGGTGAATAATTCTTTTTATGTGCTGTTGAATTCGATTTGCTAGTATCTTGTTGAGAATTTTTGCATCCATATTCATCAGGGATATTGGCCTGTAGTTCTCTTCTTGCTGGGTCTCTCTCTGGTTTGGGAATCAAAGTAATACTGGCTTCATAGAATGAGTCTGGAAGTTTTCTTTCCCTTTCTATTTTTTGAAACAGCTTGAGAATAGGTATTATCTCTGCTTTAAATGTCTGGTAGAATTCCCCAGGGAAGCCATCTGGTCCTGGACTCATTTGTTGGGAGATTTTTGATAACTGATTCAATTTCTTCACTGGTTATGGGTCTGTTCAAATTTTCTATTTCTTCCTGTTTGAGTTTTGGAAGTGTGTGGGTGCTTAGGAGTTCGTCCATTTCTTCCAGGTTGTCCAGAGCCTAAATGTTCATCAATTGATGAATGGATAAAGAAGTTGTGGTTTATATATACAATGGAATACTACTTGGCAATGAGAAAGAATGAAATCTGGCCATTTGTAGTAACGTGGATGGAACTGGAGAGTGTTATGCTAAGTGAAATAAGTCCTACAGAGAAAGACAGATACCATGTTTTCACTCCTATATGGATCCTGAGAAACTTAACAGAAGACCATGGGGGAGGGAAAGGGGGGGAAAAAAAGAGAGGGAGGGAGGCAAACCATAAGAGACTCTTAAAAACTGAGAATAAACAGGGTTGATGGGGGATGGGAGGGAGGGCAAAGTGGGTGATGGGCATTGAGGAGGGCACCTGTTGGGATGAGCACTAGGTGTTGTATGGAAAACAATCTGACAATAAATTTCATATTTAAAAAAAAAAAAAAAAAAAGAAGAGTCCTGGCTCAACTGGCTGAGCCACCCAGGCGCCCCAAATCGATTGCTTATATAGGCTTCCTGGCTAAAACTTGTCTTTTTAAAAATAGAATCCACACCCAACACAGGGCCTGAACTCACAACCTTAAGATCAAGGGTCGCACACTCCACCAACAGAGCCAGCCAGGTGCCCCATAGCTAAAGATTTCTAGCAACGGGTGAAGAATTAGCAGTAATTCCTAGTGTTGCTTTAAATAACGATTTTTGTTTCTAAATACAAACCAGAAAACAGATGAAAGTACTAATTTCCAAGGGGAGATGCAGTAGGCAAATTTTGGGATAATCTTATACACTCATAAAGCCTGGTAACCAAACTTTTTCTCGAATATGCACACTTTCCGGCTTTTCCACACGAACACTGCTGCAGAGAAGTATTTATTACAGGAGTGTGAAGAATACAATTGAACTGTTCATAGTAATATTTTTATTCAAAAATCTGCTCCTCTCCCCCTTAGATTCAGTTCCTGAACTTACTCTCCTGGGGCGCAGGCACCTAATTTCTCATAAACTCTTTCAATAGCGACCTACTTGCTCTCTGGGTGAGCAACGGGTGTGAGAGAAAAAAACCACGGTGTTAGCGTCCCCTGGTGCTTAGGGGCGCGGGACAGACAGTGACCCAATCCAGAGAAGGTATTGATCAGCTTGGGTAGCGTCCTGTGATCACCAGGGCTAACTGCCACTGTCCCTTTGGTACAAGCCCTGGGGAGTTTGGGGTTCAACTCTGCGCTCTCCAGGAGTGTCATCTCCGTGACCCGGCCCCGCGGGAGGGTGGAGGTCCGATCCAATGTCGGGCTCAGAGCACACGGAACCCGTTCGCGCCCTCCGCTCGGGCGCCGGGCGGTTAAGACAGCCAGGCAGGCGGCGCCTCTCCTGCTGTCCGCCTGCGGGCACCTACCCCGAGGGAGCCACCGCCCAGCGCTCTCCCCGCCTGCAGCCCGAAGGTAGCGAGGTGGGGCCCGCGCGCGCGCTGCCTGTGCTCGCCTCTTTGCAACCCTTACCCCCCGCCCGACCCTGGCCACCCCGACCCGCTGCCAGCCGCCCCTGACCTGCACCGTGCCCGGGAGCCGGCGCCTCTCCAGGCCAGCAGCGGCGCATGTGAGTGCGCGGCCCACCGCCAGCGCGTCGACACCATCGGTGGGCTGCCTGCGGCCCGAGAGCGCGGAATGTAGTCCCGCGGTGAGGAGGACGGAGACGGGGAGGGGGAGGAGGAGAGGGAGGGGGAGGGGGAGGAGGAGAGGGAGGGGGAGGGGGAGGAGGAGAGGGAGGGGGAGGGAGCCGCGCGCTCCAGCTGAGTCCTGAGTCCTCCGTCGTTACACAACGAGTCGAGAGCACGCAGGAGGGAAGTGGGAGTCCTGGACCATCCCGCAGAGTTTCGGAGTCACAGGAAGGAAGCAACCTGGAAAGGAGCCGGGGAGATTTTGGAAAAGCTCTTCAGGATTTAGAAAGCGCAGGACAGATGCTTGATGCCATTGTTAGGAGCTGCTTCCCTAGGGTGTGCTGGAAGGTCTGGCTCACTCAGCTCGGCGTTTATATAAATGATTGTTAGTGCTCCTCCTCTGAGCACACGGACCCTGAGACCGAAGCCCTCGGTTCAGCTGAACCACTATTAACCCGAGTGAGTAAATGGCGAAAGCTACTGGGGATGTTGTGTGGCTTGAGTGGTCCGTGGGTATTGCATGTATATTTGGTTGAAAATAGAAAACTGTTCAGTTGAGATAACTAGGTTTGAGTTAGTTCCTCCCACTTTCGTTTGAAAAACGAGTGTGAAATACCAATTGAGAATTCACATCGGTTTTTCAGAAATCCATGTCTTGGTGCAAACGGATTTTGTGTCTGGTGGTGTGTGTTAAGAGCCGCTGGGTGAAACTCTTGTCTTTCTCCAAATGTACGAAACAAGAGTTGATATAAGATGGATAAAAACTTACTGAACATGGAAGTTACTACAAGGTGGGAGAGAAATTTGTTGATATTAGTATTTTTAGAGGGATTAACCAATATATTTTATGTATTTTTCTTATCTTCAGGGCATAAATTTTTGTCCCTAACTTTAACTTTGGTTGGCTGGCTTGTTAAAGAGCTATTGAGTTCCCTTTTGTAATTTTCTTTCTGTGGATAGTTGATTTTTAATGATTAACTTCAAAAAATTAACCAGCTTATTACAATACTTATTAGAAATAGTACTGAAGAAGTTAAGAACAATACAGAAAAATTCAAGACCAAAATGTAGATATAGCAGTTAAAAACAAGAACTGTAATGTTGCCTAGTTTTATTTTCTTGCCTAATAGTAAAAATACAAAAGCTCGTTCCACTTTTAGAAAAAAATAGATTTATAGTAACAAATATGTATTGGTTATCTTTGTTCCAAACCCTGAGTATTCAGCAAGATTAGGAAACACATTCTTTTGTATTAAGATGCTATTGAAATACACTTAGAGCCAAAATCTGTCTCTGCATTTATTTTTATTAAGCTTCCATGAAGCATTTGAAGTGAGCATAAGTATTACAAGTGGAAAATAACATACAATCAAGAGTAAAGGGAAGCAGGTTAAAATGGACTTGGACAGATGCTATGCAAATTAAAATTGCCTCCTGGGAGCCACAATAAAAAGGGATGAATAGTCACACAATTCAATGAGGATAAAGGCGGAAACCTACCAGCTCCTTAGAAAAGCTTTTCTTGGCATTTATTTCTGAGGGAAATGTCTTGTGTTACAGAAGATGCAGAGGGGATTGAAGAACAGCAGTGGGAGAGCATCCGTGTGCCCATCCTAGTAGTCCATGCAGTAGTACATTTCCTAGCTGTAGTTGCAATTTTCCTTGCCGTAAGTGTTGTGAGAAGCCCTTGTTGGATGCTGAGACCTTATGGTCATACATGCTGCGTTTGATGGTTTGGGGTTTATTCAGGGATGAGTCTAGACTTTTTAGAGGGATAGATGGACCTAATGTTCTTCAAGTACCCTGTATTTCTATGTCAGGAGTTTTTGATAGAAGTTTGGCAGCAGATACAGGTTATATCAAGAGGGAAGGCTTATTCTGTGTCGCTTTCTGGGGTTATGGGATAGGGTTGCGATTTTTTAGTGAAAATTTAAAAAACCGAATGGCTGTCATCTCTATAGGATATAGGATCTGTAGGTCTGCCTACAGAAAGCTAAAGTTTATCCTTTAAAATATCCATTCTCGGGGCGCCTGGGTGGCTCAGTCGGTTAAGCGTCTGACTTTGGCTCAGGTCATGATCTCGTGGTCGGTGAGTTCGAGCCCCGCGTCAGGCTCTATGCTGACTGCTTAGAGCCTGGAGCCTGTTTCCGATTCTGTGTCTCCCTCTCTCTCTGACCCTCCCCTGTTCATGCTCTGTCTCTCTCTGTCTCAAAAATAAATAAACATTAAAACACACACACACACACACACACACACACACACACAATATCCATTCTCCGTTCACACTAGGTTGTGAACAAGTAATGATAAATTGTCTTGGTAGTTTGAGCCTCATTTCCCATCACCCCCCCCCCCCCCCCCCCAACACAGCTTTATGAGAAAGAATTCACATATCCTACACAGTTCACCTATTTAAAGTGCACAGTGTGTGGAATCATTTTCATCATCCCCTCCCCTAGAAACCCATTAGCAGTTACTCCCCCTTCTCATGATACCCCCAGCATAGTTTTTTTTTGTTTTTTGAAGCAAGATATTCTGTTTCACTGAGTGACTGTTACAAAGTGGCTATCTATTTTTTGAGCCACACAGTTAGCTTATTTATAGAGATAAATAAAATGCCCGTTCAGAGAATCATAACATTGAAAGTTAGTAGCACACTGGTTGTTGAAACCCAAGGTGAGTGGATGTGAGTAAAGCAAACGTACTGATTTCAATGAAGAAGTTTTGATTTTGACAGAAGGGTACAGTCAAATCTTGGCAGTGTCTGAAACCCCAGTGAACAAAGTTTCTTACACTTTTGCTGATCACTAGCCCAATCTCTTTGGGTTTGCAACTAGAAAAAAATTTTACACTTTAGACAAGAGCTGGCTGGAAATCAGTATTTAGGGCCAGGTAGCATTAGGTAGCTCTCTGTCATTTCTCTGGTATTATGTTCTTAGAGTTATCTGGAAAGGCAAAACCGGAAGCCTCTAGAAAGTAATAAGCCTATGATCTCCCTCTGGGGCCATTTGAGTGGAGTGTCTTACAAGGTAAGAAGAAAAACTCTCTGACAGGTACCCAAAGTTTGGATACTTTCACACAGGAGGTCCTGCCCTATCTGCTTCCTGACCTGCACAGCCCAACCCTGGCTCCACGCTGACTGTATCCTAGGACAGGGGAGAGAAGGGATAGAAAAGTTGGAGGGACAAAAGAATACTTAGAATGGGAGAAGAAAATACCTCATTTTGCCCCTTTTATTCAACCATCCTGTATTAATTTGGAATGCCTTAAGACAAGATCATTATCTTCTGGATAAAAGGAAGTGGTCATCAATGGGTGGTTGAGTGCTTTCTCTGTGCAGGTGTTTTTATATTCGTTCTCATTTGATGCTCAGACTAAACCTTCCAGGGAGTATTTCAATCCCATATTTATAGAGGAGGAAGCTGAGAGTTCACTGGGTTACTCATAGTGGGGACAAAAAGACCATATTGAACTTTATTAAAGTTTAGCATGCCTGCCTTCTGTTTCCCTTTCTTTTTGTTTCCCTCCTTTTCTTTCTTTTCATTTCTTTTTTCTTCTCCTTTTATCTTTCTTTTCTTTTTTCTTTCCTTCTTTCTTTCCCTTTCTTTCTTTCTTTCTTTCTTTCTTTCTTTCTTTCTTTCTTTCTTTCTTTCTCCTCTCTCTGTCTCATCTGGTAATTTGTTTCACAGTTTACTTACATGTTTACAGAGCAGCTCACTGTAAGTCATGTGGGGGCATAAATTGTTAGGGAGTAGGGAGGCCAGATCTTATTAGGGTCTGATAAATGTCATTCCTTCATTTTCTACCTTTGATGAAAGCACTTCATCTCTCTGGACCACAGTTTCTTTATGGGACCAGAGAACATGTGGATTGGGAGGGGAGGGATCTATATTTTATTTCAGGAGTCTAGAAGTGGAATGTGGGGTCAGCTGACATTGCCAGAGTGGTAGTGCAGAGTATCAAGCATCCTGAGGACATTTCATATTCCTATGTGGCCCATCACTGGGAATGCTAAAGGTATTCCCATTATTATCCTATTATTTTTAAATAATGTTCAAGCTATATTTTACAACATAAGTGTTCTGCCAGTGGAATCATTACTCAGTAAAAGTCTAAAGACCTAGCATCTGGTACGTCAATACTAGCTCATAGCCTCTTATAAAAATTTTTTTTTAAGTTTTTTTATTTTGAGAGAGAGAGGGAGAAAGAGAGAATCCCAAGCTGGCTCTGCACTGTCAGCACAGAGCCTGACACAGGGCTCAAACTCACAGCTGTGATATCATGACCTGAGCCATAACCAAGAGCCAAACCAAGTTAAGTTTGACACTTAACCTACTGAGCCACGTAGTCACCCCAGCATAGCTGTAAAATGGGAATAACTGCCCAAAGAATTCCCATTTCTTCTGTAAAATGGGAATAACTGCCCAATTTGTGAGAGTCAAATGATCCTTATAAAGCTTACTATTATTTGGAAACTGTTAAACACTGTCTATATCTGTCTCTCTTTCTATATAAACAATATCTTCAAGATAGAATTTCAGTATGCAATCAATATAAACTTACTGAGATATTTTACATTCTTTTTGTCATATTAAATCTTTGAAATCTGGTGGGTATCCTACATGTACAGCACATCTCAATTCTGACTATGCACATTTCAAGTATTTAGTAGCCACATGTGGCTAGTGGCTGCCATATTGGGTGGCACAAGTCTGCAGCATTAATTAATACGTTGGTAGAAGCTGGTTTGGGTGATGCCTTTTCTATTCTGAAAATAATGCTTTTAGTAACTAATAACTTGTTCCTAATACCTACCTGTTACTAATAAAAACAGAAGGAATAAAACTGCAGGAAATGCAGGAATCCAGGAAATAATACTTGTCCATTATGTTAGTGCATACGTACTCTGTGCAAGGAAGTCTAGAGACTGGAGTCTTGGTTCTGCAAACCTACCACCTGACTTTGATTTATAACCTTTCTGATCCCTTTATCCTGTTCCATCATATGGGGATACTGTATGTCTTCCCAGTGTACCTCATAATAGTTACCTCAAATAAAACGTGTACTTCAGAAATCATAAAGCAGTAGGCTAATTATAGTTAAAAATCTAATGATATCAATTCCCTCATACCTAAATCTAATAGTACTATTGATATCATGCCAAATCACTCACCACTTCCATATCAAATCTAAGTTAGGAGTAGAATCCATTTGACACATGCAGCATTGATTTATGTGGATATTACCAGCAACCTAGGGCCAGTTGACCCACTCCAGTTGCTACAGTATAGATCTGGTCTTGCTACTTAGCCGTTCCCTGGAGCTACGGACCACTCATTGTGTTCTGACCTCAGATGTAGATACATATCTCTCCACCCCACCCCACCCCCAGGGAGATATATTCCATCTTACCTGGTAGAATGCTACCCTATCCCAGAGGCAAATTGAAGTGGTTTGAATTTTTCCACAAAAGGCAAATTGCTATGCTTCTCTCCCTCCACAATTTCCACCTAAATAAGGAAGAGGCACAAATCACTTCTGGAGAATAGTTTAGAAAAGGTAAGTTTCCTGCTCTTACTTCCCTTCTCAGTGCGATAGAGATAGCCCTTAAAGCTTGGTTTTTAGGTGGATCTCATTACTCTCATATCATGAATTTCAGCTAATCATAATTATGACAGGGTAACAAGAAAAAGATGTTATTGATGTGTTATCCTTTATAAAACAATGCTTTTGAGAATGCATTGAAAAGCTGTGATTGGGTTTGCATAGCTCTTGATGAGGTTTTCAAGAACAAAGATGGCATTTTAAGCCTGACATCATGCTTCCATTATAAACATTGAAAAAATTGGGGGTTATTTCATTATTGATTTTAATTTGTTGTTTTGAAATAATTTTTAGGCTTACTGAAAAGTTGCAAAAAAATATGGCACAGAGTTTCTGTAACATCTTGTATAACTATAGTAAAATTGTCAAAACTGATAGATTAACATTGGGACAATACTGTAATACTATTAACAAAACTATAGACTTATTTGGATTTCACTGGCTTTTCATTATCCTTTTTCCATTCAGGATCCAGTTCCAGGAACTTGTGAAGAGTACTGGTCAGATATTTTATAGAATGCTCCTCAGTTAGTACTTGATGTTTTCTCATGATTAGATTGAGGTTATGCATTTCGGGGAAAAAAATACCAGAAGGAATCTCAGTACATTTTGTCAGAGGTACATGACATCTTATTGCTGACGTAAACCTTGGTTAAGGTGCTATTCGCCAGGTCCCCAGTGGAAAGTTATTTTTCTCTTTGTAATTATTAGGTATCTTGGGAGAGAAACCTGTACTATGCGAATACCCGGTTTCTCCTTAGACTTAAATTTGGACTATGCAAATATCTTCTTTCTCTTTAAACTTTGTTCACTAATTTTAACATCCATTGGTGGAACTTGATGTACATTGTACTGTGTTGTTCTAATAGTGATTTAAAATTTTTTTCTCCTTCTAAGTTTACTAATTCTTACCCATTTAGTTACTCAACTATTTGTATCAGTAAAAATTCATGGCTATTTTGTTATTTTATGGGTTATAATTCAATATTGTCATTATTTAATTTGCTGCTCAACCTGTTCCAGCCTTGGCCACTAGAAGTTTCTTTCAGGTTGGCCTATGTGCCCTTTTGACATACCACCATTCCCCCTGTCTCCTTGCCCCAACTTTAAAGCTTTATCCTTACTTTTTTTTTTTAATGTTTATTTGTTTTTGAGAGAGAGAGAGAGAGGAAGAGAAGGGAAGAGAAGGGGCAGAGAGAGAGGGAGACAGAAGATCTGAAGTGGGCTCCAAACTGACAGCAGAGAGCCCAATGTGGGGCTCGAACTCACAAACCGCAAGATCATGCCCTGAACTGAAGTCAGACGCTTAACTGACTGAGTCACCCAGGCACCCCTATCCTTACTTTCTGATACTACAGAATGCTGCAGGCTCAATTTGTATTCTCCATGTCTCAACCCTGGAATCAACCATTTCTCCGAGACATGGGTTCCTTTTTTGGAGAATGTTATTAGAAACCACCATCCGGGCACTAGCTATGTTATTGGGGTTACTCTGGGCTTTTTAAGTTTAATAGATTTGTGACCTAGAAGTGCATGTTTACAAAAAGAATAATGCCTTCAATTTCAAACATTATAGAAGACCTCACTGTAGTTGCCAGTTTGGGTTTAGTCTCATGGGAAATACATACAATTTTTAGGGTTCAGAGTTTTTTAAAAGTTCCCAGTTTTTCTCAAATGATGACCTGTAAGTGCTTAGAAAACAAACACAGTGAACACGTGAACTTTTATTTATTAGGGTCTGGTAAGAAAGCAGGATTTTTTTTGTTTGTTTGTTTTGTTTTTTTAGCTCTGTAGCTTAAAGATATGCATAGGTCATATCTTTGTGATGTGCAAATGTCTTTAAAGAAATTATAAAGAGAGTAGAAGGTTAACTTTCAGTGGGATCAGAGGAGTCCTAGGGGTGTTGTCCTGTGATAAGTAGAGGCAGTGCGCCAGAAAGATAGGAGATGGATAAAAGATGAGAAAGATAGGTGGATGTGAAGACAGTGCCAGTGTTGGGAGCATGCAGGACTAAGATAGTAGAAAGGACAAGATCATTAGGGGAGAGAAGGTCAAGGGGCTAAAAATTCACTATAGCTGCCAATATCCTAAACTTTACAATAGTGTATGACAGTGTCAATGCATAAATGCCTCTTGGAAAACAGTTTATATTTGAATGCTCAGTCAAATGTGGGTCTGTAGCGTTTTGTTAAAAAATAAAAGAATAATACATTATTGCATGATGAAGACCCCAAGACACTGGGGGTGGGGGGTTGTCATCCACAAGTCTTATTTATGGTTCTCAGGGTTTTTTTAAAGATTTTATTTTTAAATAATCTCTATACCCAATGTGGGGCTCAAACCCATAACTCCGAGATCCAGAGTCACATGCTGTACCAGCTGACCCAGCCAGGTGCTCCTGGCTCTGTTTTTAACCAAAGGTAGC